TCGATCGCCCAATGTGCTGTCGGGAATCATCTTTCAGAAGAAAAGAGTTGAAGCAGAGAAGGGCATAATATATTGGACTGATTCATTTCTGATGGTTCTGTTTTTTTGTAATGTATGTTATGGATTTTAATTTTTTTATACATAGACTTGTATCAATATTTTTTTTAAATAAGAAATTTAATACAATCTAAAACAGAGGGTTCGATCTGATTTTTAAGGGGCGATTACTTTGTTTAATTATGGTGTTGTACAATCTAAAATATCAGCCCATAGCTCCCTCGTGATTGATAAGATGTAGCGTCGGTTAGTTTTTCGGTCAAATTTAACCGCGCATGTTAATCTTCACGGGGTTATCTGCAAAAAGTAATTTTGCAAAGGCAAATATAAGTACAAGGGGTTCATTTTCAAATTATAGTATCTTAACGTTCGACACGCACAATTAATTTTGACGGAAAAATTAATGGAAGTTATTTTACAGAGATATTACGAACACAAGCGGCAAGTTTACTTTTGGTTTTTAAACTCCTACTTTTTCCCTAATATTCTCTATTGAGTTAAATTATTTTTGGGAAATTTACAGTTTTCATCTCTCAAGTTTGCAATAATTCCACATTTGATCTTCATATTAAAAAAAAAATACATTAGGTCCCTCATGTTTCAAGAATCTGATAAGTTTAGTCATTTTTGTAAATTTGCCATTAGTCGGTCAGTTACGGTAGCGACGGAAACACATTAGATTCCGTTAGTTTTAACACAAAATTGATGAAAATGACTAAAAGTGTTGAATTTTTGAAACATGAGGGATCAAATGTGTTTTTCAATGAATATAGGGGACCAAATGTAAATTGGTGCAAACTTGAGGGATGAAAACTGCATTTTGCCCAATTATTTTTTTTCCGGTAATAAAGGAACCCATTTGCCAACCGTACAAGTAAGTGCCTGGGAGCGACAAGCTCGACCCAACGACCGTTAGCAAGGGGATTCAAACATGGGATAATCGACACAGATTCATTAACTCTAACCGTTAGATCATCCCTTATGACACTGACAGTATTTTAATCAAATTAGAATTGATATGTCAGTGTGAATGAACGTATTTTTCCACAACGCCGAGATTGACAAAATCAATCACACTACATCCGAATAATATTCAACAAAAAACAAAAAAAAAAAAAATCTAGACTCTTCCAATCGTACGTATATATATATATAGATATACATTCACTGCAAAAATGAAAGAACACATAAAAATGGAAAATAATAATAATAATAATAATAATAATAAAGAAATTGTAGAGGTGATGGGGTTTTGGGTAAGCCCATTTGTTCAGAGGGTACGATCAGTGGCGAATCCAGGATTTTTGCCAAGGGTGTTCGGAATTAAATATAGTAAAAAAGGTAAAAGTTTACGGGGGTTCGGGGGCAGCGCCCCCGATTTTTTTTTTAATACTATGCACATTAAATAATAAAAATATGTAATATTTTCAAATTTAAAGGGATTATTTTACAAATTTTGGGCTAATTTAGGAAATATTTAGACATAAAATTGGTGAAAATATTTAAGGAGTGGTAAGCATATTAAAGTTGCAAGTGACAAAATGTGTATTTCATTAGCAGATTTTGAATTTAAAAAAAAAATATAGTTGTAAATTTAGAAAATAATTGTAATAATGCATATATATATATATAATTAAGAATTTTGGAATAATTTAGATTATATAAAATATTAAAGGAATGGTAAATAAATTAAAGTTGCAAATAGCAAAATATATGTTTTATTAGGAGATTTTGATTTTTTTGAAATATTCAAAAATACCCACATATTAAAAAATTTTGGAAAACAATTGAAATATTATATATTTGGAGATTTTGATTTTTTGAAATATTCAAAAATACCCACATATTCAAAAATTTTGAAAACAATTGAAATATTATATGTATTAGAAATAAAAAAAACAAGCATATATATATAAAATTAAGAATTTTGGAATAATTTAGATTATATAAAATATTATAAGAATTTTGGAATAATGTAGATTATATAAAATATTAAAGGAATGGAAATTAAAGTTGAGAATAGCAAAATATATGTTTTATTAGGAGATTTTGATTTTTTGAAATATTATATGTATTAGAATTTAGAAATACAAAAAAACTTTGAAATATTCCAAATAAAAGGGTTCAATCTGAGTCTCGAACTCTGCACCTCTCTGTATATGAAGGGAGATCCCTACCAGTTCAGCTACAAGATCTCTTCAGCAATTTTTACATTTACAGTTATATAATATATAAATATATAGGGAATATTTTTTTTTCAAAATCAAGGGTGTGCAGTTGCACACCCTAGGACCACAGTGGATACGCCACTGGGTACGATGGGCACTAAAAATGAAGGGAATAAAAAAATATGAATAAATAGAAGAAGATATATACAACAAAAGCTCTCTTCTTTCTGAGATGAACCCTGTGTACGGCAAAGTACCTGTTCTTTGTTCATAACGGTAAACCGCTGTCCGAATCTTCCATTATACTTGAATACATTGATCAGGTGTGGAATGACGATTTTGCCCCTCCATTGTTGCCTCGGGATCCTTACCAGAGAGCTCAAACGCGTTTCTGGGCTAAATTTGCTGATCAAAAGGTATATATTTTATATATGTATATCTTGATTATTTGTTTTCTATTTAATTATTTTCTTTTGAGGGTTTGATTTTTTGTTTTAGGGCCGAATTTAAATTTTGATACGTACCGAAACTGGAATACCAAACTGGTAATTCGGTTTGGTATTCAATTTTTTTATTTCCTAACTTTTTGTACGTCAGTATCGTGATTTTTTTATTTTTTATTTAAAGGTAAATTTACGATCACCCTCATGCACTAGAGTCAAATTACGAAAAAAAACCTCGTGTTCAGGTGACCGTACCTCTCAACTATGAATCTTTTTACACATACATCCTTGTAGTCTTAAATTTAGTGGAATCTTCTGAATTATATGTGAATATTCTCTTGTTTGTATCCGTTTTACTCGTTCGAGCTCTACATTTTGAAACAAGATGATCATAAGAAGTGTCTCTTGGCTTGTAAATATCAGATTATGATGCATCAAAAGTTGCATTTGTTGCAGAAAGCGAGTACAAATTAGAGAATATTCGATGTAATCTACAAGATTATGTTGAATTTGACATCATCAGGATAGACGTGTAAAACAATTTATAGTTGAGGGGTGGCTATTGTAATTACTCAAACATGAGAGGTTTTTTTGTTACCTCGGAGGGTGACCATAATTTACCATTTATTTTATACATGCCTATATTTAAAAACAAAATCGAATTGTCATTATTTTTTGGAATGATTTTTCATAATATTTTCTGTGATTGGTAATTAATTACCGAATCGGAACATATATTTCGGTTCGGTAATTTAGAATGAAATTCTAGTATTAAACCAAAATTTTGTTATGGTTTTTGTCGAATGAGCACTCCGAGTAGTTGTCCGACACAATTAAGTGTTTGTAATCAAATTTATTGAAAAACATTTTTTCTCTATTTTCTGGTGGATTCCATATTTCTCTATTTTCTGGGCGGAGACCAAAATATTATTTTAATTTGAATTACTCCAAAAAAAAAAAAAATTGTTAATATTCCTCAGGTTCTTGAATCAGCATGGATGGTGCTCTGCTTAGAAGGCGAGAAACAAGAGAGGGCGGTGAAAGAAGCCATTGAAGCTCTTGAAAAGCTTGAAGAAAAGCTGAAATCGGGTAATAGCGTTTTCTTCGGAGGGGACACAATCGGGTATTTGGACCTTATGATCGGATTCGTTTCGTATTTATACCCTGTTTGGGAAGAAGTTGCATCCGTCAAAATCTTGGACGCTTTGAAGTTTCCGGCTTTGGTTGCGTGGCAGAGTAATTTTCTCAATCATGAACTGATCGTCGGAGAGTATTTGCCGCCCAGGGCGGAGGCCGTTGCTTATTTCCGGTGGCGCCGGAGTGAACTAATTCCGGTTTATAACCGGATGTATTGAGTAATGTATTGTGATAATGCAATCAAATGGATTAAAGTTGAACTATCAATTCCAGAAGTGGCAGTAAAATATTATATGAATAAAATTATGTTTTTCTTTTTTCAATCAGAATTTGGGGTTATTAAATCGCTATAAATTAATACAGATGAGATGAGTCAAATTCTATTAATGAAATATGTTTTAACACATTGTCTTTGAATTGTGATCGAGAAAAAAAATACTATTTAAACGGAATTATTATTAATTTATTGAGGTTGAACTGTAAATTACGCGGCTACAAGAGTGGATAATTATATTTGGTAGAGCAATAATTAAGCAGAGTGCAAACAAATTTAAGTGTAACAATTAATTTTCTTTTGTCAATATTATCTAAATCGAGCTCGTTCACCGTTCAATTTAGACTTAATCATTGTGTGGTTTATCATCTATTTTCACTTAATTTGTTCATGCTTTATATATACATAGAAATACCCAAAATCTCATGACACAGAGAGTAGGTGAATTGAAGTAGATTAGGGGTGAATGTGATACAACGAGATGAGACGACTCGAAAAAAGCTCGAACTTGAACTCGAGTTTTTCAAGCTCGAACATTTTGACCAGTTGAACTCGATCTTTGTTTGTTTTAGTTGTTTGTGAACTCACGAGCCGGCTTGCGAGCCTTCCTTTTATTTATTATTTATTTTTATATATTATTTTTTATAATATAATAATATAAAATATTATAATATAAAATTTTAAAAAAATATGTATAATTACATCATTATTTTATTTATAATATAAATATTTTTTAATAATAAAAAAACAATTATAAAACAAAAAAACTGAAATGGGCTTGGGCTCGAGTTCGTCAAAATCGGCTCGAGACTCGAGCCAAAAAAAATATTCAATGAGTTCGAGCTCGTCAAAACGGACTCGAATTCGAGCTCGAACCTACCAAAACAGCCGAACTCGTCTGGTTCACAACCATAAATTAGATACTTAGCTATCATATATTAATAATTAGTATCCAAGAAATCAACTGATCTAAGCACATAGAATCGCCACATACACCAACTGATCAACAACCATTAGGTATAGGTGTAAGAACACCAGCAAACCCCACTCATGCATGCAGACTCCACTTCATTACACAACAAAACCCCATGCACACCATGCACAGACAAATGTCACTTCTCACAGCGTACGTGTCCAAACTCAACCACCAAACCCCTGCTATATAAATCCCACCCACACTTTCTCCATTCTCCACATCTCACCATCAAACAATAAAAAAAATATATAAAAAAAAAAGACACTAGCTGTTATAAAAATGGCTCTCAGGAGCTTCTTCTTCGTCGCAACAGCACTCCTCCTCCTCATCCATGGCGGCTCAGCTCTCTTCTTCGGCGAACAACAAGAACCCATGTGGCAGAGCCTCCACCAGCAGCAGCAGCACCGGCTCAGAGCCAGAACCGATTGCCGGGTCGACCGGCTCACTGCCCAGGAACCCACCATCCGACTCGACTCGGAAGCCGGCCGGACCGAGTTCTGGGATAGGAACAACCAGCAGTTCCAGTGCGCCGGAGTTTCCGCCGTCAGAAACACCATCGAGCGCCGGGGATTACTACTCCCCCACTACAACAACGCACCTCAACTCCTCTACGTTGTTCGAGGTTAATTATTATTAATCCCCTCTTATTAACTCTTAATCCACTTTTTAATTATAGTTTATTTATAGGTATACCCATTATTTAAATAAGGGCAAATTGCACTTCACACCCTTAAAAAATGTCTATTTTGCACTTTTCCCCCTTCAAAATACAAATATACAACTCGGTACACTTTGTTCCAAATATGTATTTTAGTTACCGAATTTAGTTACCGAATGAAGGGTGTATATGTCATTTTACATCTTCCACTTCAGAATCCTGCTTTCTGAGTTACTTTCTTATGGTTTCCAAATTAATAAAATTTTCTTTCTAAATTGATGAAATTTGTATCCAATTCGACAAAATTTGTTATTTGTTCTCCCACTCAATCATTGTAATGTAGGGTGAGAAAATGTTAAATGACATTTAAAGCCTTAAAAGACGAAATTACCCTCCCAATTTACTCCGATCTGACAAGAATTAAATCGGAAATACACATTTGGGGTTCGTTTTTGTATTTTGAGGGGTGAAGTGCAATTTTCCCTTTTAAATAATTTATTTTTTCAGTCTTTAATTAATTTGTTGAAATTATGTTATATATTTTGCAGGAAGGGGGGTTTTGGGGGTTGTGATTCCGGGATGTGCGGAGACATTCGAGACGGAAACTCAGCAGGCACAATCTGATCGCCGTCGGAGATTCTCCGACCGCCACCAGAAGGTCCGCCAGTTCAAGCAGGGAGATGTTCTTGCTTTGCCGGCGGGCTTTACTCTCTGGTTGTACAACAACGGCGACGAACAGCTTGTCACCGTCGCGCTTCTCGATACCGGCAACGAAGCCAACCAGCTCGATCAAACATTCAGAGTAAATTAAATTAATTCAAATTTAATTAAACAGCAATACGACGTCGTTTTTTGATTCATTAGTTAATCTTGTTTTTTTCAAAGAACTTCTTTTTGGCGGGAACCCCACAATATGGTCAACAAACTTCTTTCCGGCGAGAGGGGGCGGAGGAGGAGCAAGCCGGCCGTAAGAACAACATTTTCTACGGGTTCGAGGACGAGCTTCTGGCGGAGGTTTTCGACGTCGATCGAGAGACGGCGGCGAAATTGAAGGGGCAAGATGATCGGAGGGGACAAATCGTGAGAGCTGAGAAGTTCAACATTGTCTTGCCGGAGGCGGAAGAGGAGGAGGAGAGGCGGGAGAGGGGAGCGCCGTGGTCGGCGGCGAATGGGTTAGAGGAAACTATTTGCAGCGCCAAGTTGAGGGAGAATCTGGATGAGCCGTCACGCGCCGACGTGTACAACCCACGCGGCGGCCGCATCAGCTCGCTCAACAGCCAGAAGCTCCCCATTCTTAGCTGGCTTCGTCTTAGCGCCGAGAAAGGAACTCTTTACAGGGTAAAAACTCACAACCTTTAATATATATATATATATATATATATATATATATATATATATATATATATATATATATAATATATATATATATATATATATATAATTTATTTATTTATTTATTTATTTTCTTTTTTTTATTTAACAATTTTACACTAAATTTAGAATATTATTCAAATGATATTCGGTTCGTTTATTTTGGTTTCGAAGGAATATTTTTCGATCCAAATTCATAAAATTTCGATATTTGATTATATTTTCCAAGATTTCTTTTTTTGGATGGAATTGAAATATATCAATAATATTATATGTGACTAAAAATAGGATTTTTTGAATTCTGCCAATTTCGATCGTAAAATTTTCAACAAATTTCTTTATTCCAATTCTTCAAAGTTCCTATATTTTTGTTTTCAATTATGATTAGTTTTTCACATGGAAAAAATCCAAAAAGTATTAATTTCAATTTGATCCTCCAATTTCACCATATTAAAAACACAATTGTACATTTTCTTTACTTTGAGAAAATCGAAAAGTATTAATTTCCATTTGATCCTCTATAAATTCCACCATATTAAAAACACAATTGTACATTTTCTTTAATTTAAAAAAAATATTAATCCGTGTGCATTTACCAAAAAACGCGCGCAGAACGCAATAATGGCGCCACACTGGAACGTGAATGCGCACTCGGTAATCTACATCACACGCGGCAACGGCAGATTCCAGGTGGTGGGCCACACCGGAAAGTCGGTGTTCGACGGCGAGGTGAGAGAAGGCCAGCTGATAATAGTGCCGCAGAACTTCGTCGTGATAAAGAAAGCCGGCGACGACGAGGGTTTGGAGTGGATATCTTTCAAGACCAACGACAACGCCGTCACCAGCCAACTCGCCGGCCGTTTGTCGGCCATCCGGGCGATGCCGGAGGAGGTGCTGATGAACTCGTACGGTATTTCCCGACAGGACGCAAAGAACTTGAAGTACAAGAGGGATGAATCCAGTGTGTTCGGTTCGACTTCGCGATCGAGGTCTCACGGCAGATCTCAGCCGTTGGATTTGGCTTTGGATGTCATCAAGGCTATGATGTAATGGATGAAATATATAATATATAATGTGTAAATGTTCCGTCGGAAAATTTAAGTTTAAGAGGTTTGAAATAATTTGGGGGCCGTGACCCCCTTTTAATGGAGCTTGTACGTGGCGGATGGAATGTTGTTTTTCTTCACGAGTTTGAATAAAATTACTGTTATTTAATTAAGTTGCAATTGGTATTTTTCTTTTTTTTTTTTTTTTTTTTTGGAGAAAACAATTGGTATGATTTACATGTACATATATTCATATACTTATCAATTTATAATACACTATATTATTTAGTCAACTTTGATTTTTTTCTTTCAATTTAAAGGATAATTATGTTTAAAATATTCGAAATTAGTATTTTATGACATAAATATTTTTTTATTATTTCACTTATACAAAAATACTTTTTAATAAAATATATCTACTTACCTCAAAATTTTTATTTTAAAATGTTATTTTTACCTTGACCAAATAGTGAGAAAATTAGGATATTGTAAGAAATAGAGTGGATGATTATGCACTATTGATTCAATGCGTCAGAAAAATGCTATGAAATCTCCGACAGACATAGCGTTTTCAAAAACGCTATCATAGGACATATGATAGTGTTTTCTAAACGCTATGGATGACACTTTGTGATGTAGTGACACACTCGTGTGTACATGCGCTTAGTAGGTATTTTTTTATATAGATTTATGGTGCAAAATCATCCGATGTATTTTTAGCAATGTTTTGAAAATCGGACCGAATATTGACTTGGAGAAGCTGGGATCATGATTGGATTGGTTCAACCACGATCCAACCGATTTTTTCAATTTCTATTTTATAATTATTTATACATAAGTTTTATATTTTTTTTCAAACACATTAACTCATTATTTAATTCCAATTAAACACAAACATATGATACACACGCATATCACTTCGTATCATTTCAAATGTTATACAAATTATAATAAAAAAATAATGTCTTCCAATAAAAGCAAATAATTTTGAATTTTTTGTCACACGGGAAAAGACATCGTTTTGACCATTTAATTTGTTTATAAAAAAATAATGTCTTCCAATAAAAACAAATAATTTTGATTTTTTTGATTTTTGTTTTGACCATTTAATTTGTTTATAAAAAAATAATGTCTTCCAATAAAAACAAATAATTTTGATTTTTTTGATTTTTTTTTTCAATCGGCATCGTTTTGACAATTTTATTTGTTTATAAAAAAATAATGTCTTCCAATAAAAACAAATAATTTTGATTTTTTTTGCATCGGGGGAGTAAAAGACATCGTTTTGGATCATTTTATTTGTTTATTTTGAAAGAAAAAAAAAACCCGGTTTTCACTTGAAATTCAATGTTAGGTTCAACCAATCAAACCGCACCGATCAAGACAATGGTTCGCGGTTTAACCAAGTCGATTCAACCGGCCGATCCGAGTTTCAAAACACTGATTTTCAGACTAACTATTTAGTGATAAAAATATAATAATCACCATTAGTACCTTAACCTTAATTAAAAAAATGATGGAATTAAATAATATTGTTTAATTTGCAGGAAATTAAATTCATCATTATTCATCAGAAACAAAATAAAAACCCTGAAATCATTCAACAAAATTTAAATGGTTTTATTATTACAAAAAACACGTAGAAACACCATCTCCGAGGAGATCCATTCATACATTTTTTCTCTTATTATTACAAAACCTTTACAAAAACCAAAAACCAACACTGCTTACAAAAGGCATATTCTTTCTTAAGCATATCCTCCTCCAGACCTAGATCCAGGGCTGAACAAGGTAGCTTCGTCCCTGTTGTACTTCAAGTTCTTAGCATCCTTCCTCGATATTCCGTACGAGTTCATCAGAACCTCCTCCGGCATGCCGCGCAGGGCAGATAGCCGCCCCGCCAGCTGGCTGTTCATGGCGTTGTCGTTGGTCTTGAACGCGATCCACTCGAACCCTTCGTCTCCGGTTGCTCTCTTCACGACCACAAAGTTCTGAGGAATGATCAGAAGCTGGCCCTTGTTCACTTCGTCGTCGAACACCGACTTGCCTTGGTTACCGACGACTTGGATTCTCGCGCTTCCCTTCGTCACGTACATTGCGGTGTGGGCGTTTGTGCTCCAGTGAGGTGCCATTATTGCGTTCTGTGTCACAAACAAATTCAATAATAATAGGGATAAATTACGAAAATCTCCCTAAACTTAAGACTAAATAACAAAAAACACCCCACCAATTCATAATTACCAAAAACCCCCTGAGGTCACCTATTCATAATTACCAAAAACCCCTACAATGTGACTTTTCATGATTTTGTTTTTTTATTTCGGGGAATAAACTTTACACAATATCAGCTATTCTTTTTTATTTCTCACCTATTTAACATATTTTTTTATTATTTCTCATCTATTTAACAGAAGGTATAATAGAAAAGATATAATAAACTGTACACATTTTATCATGTGTATCGTTAGAACGTTGCGAAGCACATTCCATTAGTGCTAATGGAAATTTGACAGAAATGATTAAAAGGGCTGAACTTTAGAACTTCCAAAATATGAGGGACCAAATGTGTTATTTATGAACAAGAATGGTCAAATATGAAATTAGTGCAAACTTGAGGGACTAAAACCCAAATGTGTTCTTTGTAAACATGAATGATTAAATGTGTAATTAGTGCAAACTTGAGGACTAAAACTGTAATTTTTCCCTAATAATAACAGAAGAAGATATTTGTACCTTGTAAAGAACACCTCTCTCGGCGCTGAGGCGGAGGAAGCTGAGGATGGGGAGAGTCTGGCTGTTGAGTGAGGTCAGGCGGCCGCCGCGTGGGTTGTACTCGTCGGCCCTAGTTGGGTGGCCGATGTTCTGCCTTATCTTCATCGAGCACAGAGTTTCCTCAATCCCATTGTTGTATCCGCCGCCGCCTTCCCTTCTTCTCTCTCCTCTCTGCTGCTCCTCTCTCCCCCACTCCGGCAACACCAGATCGAGCTTCTCCGCCCTGACGATGAAACCCCGGTTGTCCTCCTTCGCCTGCAACTTCCTCACGATCTCCGAATCCACGTTGAAAATCTCCGCCAGTATCTCCTCGTCGAATCCGTTGAAGATGTTCCTCATCCGCTGACCACGCTCACCTTCCTCCTCGCGGCCGCGGCGGCTTCCTCCCTCCTGGCGGCGGCGGCCTCCCTCCTCGCTCTGCCCGCCTTCTCGTGAGCTTCCGGCCAAGAAGAATTTCTGCAAATTTTCGAGGAAATTTATGTATAAAACGGCGTCGTTTCACAATTTCATGCAAACTTTCTCAATTTAGGGATTTAAGGAAATTTATATAATAAAACGACGTCGTTTGAGTTATTTAATGTGAAATTACTAATATACCCTGAAGTTCAGATCCAGCTGGTTGCCTTCGTTGGCCACGTCGAGGATGGAGACGCTGATAATTGGGGTGTCGCCGTCGTTGTAAGCCCAGTGGGTGATGCCCTGCGGCAGAGCAAGGATATCTCCGCTGCGGAACCGCCGGAGCTTCTGGTGGCGGTCGCTCCTCCTCCCCTTACTCTGGCTGCCGCCTTCTTCGTAGCTTGATTCCGATTCGTATGTCTCCGCACATCCCGGAATCACAGTCCCATGGATTCCACTTCCTACACACACACACACATACTGTGTGAGATCAAGAATAAAATAATGAAAAATGAAAAGAAAAAAAAAAACCGAAAACGGTGACGTATCGAACCTTTGATAATGTAGACGAGTTGAGGGGTATTTGTGTAGTAAGGAAGCAAGAGGCCCTTGGGCTGGATGACGTGGCGGACGAATTGAATGCCGGCGCACTCGAACTCGTTGGCGTTGGAGTCCCAGAACTCAGTGACGCCGGCCTCCGAGTCGTAGGTGTAACTCGGCTCACTGGCGGTGAGTTGGTCGATGCGGCACTGAGTCTTGGCGCGGAGGCGGTGCTGCTGACCTTGCTCCAGGCCCTGCCAGAACCGCTGCTGAGGCAGCTCGAGCTGGGCCGTACATGCATGGAAAAAGAACAGAGAGAGCGAGAAGAGCACGAAAGCTTTAGCCATGGCGGAATTATTATTTTATTATTTATTTATGGTTGTGTTTTTTTGGTGAATGTGGCGAGTGGAAAGCGTGGGGGGTTTTATAGCAGTGGGGAGTAGGGTTAGGTTTTGACACGTAAAATAATTTGGTGGAACACTTGGCCTACGTGTTTGTGCATGCATGCATGTGGTGGTGTTTTGTTTTGTTCTGCATGGGAAGATTATGGCCGGGTGTTGCTTACGTGGCGGTGAGATGCTGATAAAGCTATACAATGTGTCCGTCTCTCTACCTGCATGATGTTTTGGTGGTGCACTTGTTGCATTTGATTACCCACTCGGCCCGAATTAATATTCTTATTTCATAAAAAATATTATATCTTATAGTGATGGGCCGGGGCCCGAATTTGGAACTTGGGCCTATTCAGGAAATTGAAGTGGGTTGTCTTTTATTAGGCCGAAGGTTTTTACAACTGTCCGGAATTTTATGGCAAATTGGTCGGGGACTCGAGTTAGTTCTTTTTAAAAATTGTTTTATAAATTGACCTACAATCGAATTCAAAAATAATACTACAATAGAACATCGATAAATTAATAACCTCGATTAAGTAATAGTTTCTCTCGGTCCCGACTCGGTGAAAACATGTTAAATTATTAATTCGATAATTTAATAATTCGCTAAATTAATAGAATTTTTCTGATTCCAACTGTATTAATTTATAGAAGTTTTACCTGTGTGTTCCCGTTCTATACACTTGGATTGTGCACAATGACGACGAGCACATTAAACTTGAGGAGGTAGTAAGCTGGTGCAATTCATATCTCACGACATTTAACGAAGAAGGGCAATTTCGAACTCATAATATAGCTAAATGTGGGCTTTAGGATTAGCGTTGATGTCGCATTTCCACCGAGACCAAACTCTTATAAAACTTCATCGGTAGCTCGAGATTTTGACCGTCTACCCGTGATGGATTACCTTAGGCAACCAAGAACATACTATAATTAAACCTTTTGGAGCCATTCGAGAGGGTCTACTTTCCCTTCTTCTTTGGCTATGAATGCCTAATAATATCTCGTCTTTCCTCTAAAAAAGCTTAAAAAAATTCCGACAATATTAATTTTAATTTGACCCTTCTAATTTCCACACCTACATAGCATTAAAAAAACTAAATTTTCTATTTTCATTAGTGACATTAATGAAAAAATGTTTCAAAAAACAATATAATAATGAAAAAAAACAGAAAAAGGGTAGGATCGCCAAATAATATATTCTAGAAGGGGTGGATGCCAATATTTTAAATATTTTGAGGGTATGGTTGCCAAATGACGGTAATTTGGGGCGATAGGGTACAAATTAAATTACCCTAAACACAAGCATATGGCATAATGTAAGGCGATTAAAGAATGTAATTAGACTTTGCTGTTTAAAAGAGTGTAATTAAGACTTTGCTTGTTTAAAAGTTGAATTTAAAGACTAGCATCTAGAAGTTCAACCGATACCAAACAACTACTATATTGGTGCAATTAAATGAGAAATTATTTGGCTAAATTACGAAAAC